ATCACTAAACATAAAGAAATTAATTAAATTGAAGTGATTTTAAAATTAAAAATTCATTCCTCAGACACACTGACCACATTTCAAGTAACTGAGAGCCACACGCAGCTTGTAACTCCTGTATTAGTGCAGATTATAGAACACTTCCATCTTCGCAGCAAGTTCTAATGAATAGTGCTGACCTCAAACCGGCCCCAAGGCTGGCTGTCATTTAGAGGCAGCCCGTATTTCCCAAATTGTCTGCAACGTGCCCCAAACACTGACACTTAGCTGTGTCCAGGCCAGACTCTCCTGTCCCTCTAACAAATGAGGTTCATTCCTGATTCTGTGCCTGTGCAGACTCCTGGTCATTGAGACAAATGAGTAGGTAAATCAATGCAGTCACCGAAGAAGTGAGATTGTTCTGCCATGACAAAAAAACAACGGGACATCTATGAAATATTTATCCCAGCGAAATGCTCTGCCAACAAAGAAACCCAAGAAAATGACTTTTTCCCAGAAGACTGTCATAAGCTCCAGGTTCATCAGGATGTGCTAGAGGATTAAGTGAAATGTCACTTGTCTTGACACGTAATACCAATTTGAGTCTTTATCTAATTTTTTCATGTGGGCCCATATTTTTTCTGTTAGATAAGTTGCATGGTCATAGGAAGCAGGGACCAAATCTTACAGGAATTCCTCTTGCATCGTACTCTTCTATCTCACATCTCTACCCAAATAGTGAGGATGTTACAAACCGGTCCCTGCCCGGGGATCAGAGATGATCAATAATATGTTGTTTTATTCAGAGTGTTCTTTTGAAACTTTTGAATCAACTGCCAACCTTTAAAAATGGGAAGATTTCACATCAGAATCCACAGTTGTGGTGTGCTGAGAAGTCTGGCAGTCCTGGGTGAGCGCTCATGCATAGCTCTATTAGCTGGAGCTGAGTGCCACCTGCCCCCTTTATAGGTGTCTATTTTCCTGTTTACCACTCTCCTTCCTTGTTACCTACCTTGCCCTGAAGGCTTTTGCATTTACAACTCTTATGGAATACACTCAATAAATGAACTGAGACTGGAAATATCTACACTCTGTAAACACAGCAAGGTAGCCCTTAATGTCTGTCTCAATGGGTAACATGATTGTTTGAAGCAGCTTAAATCAAAATTCTCATTTTAGCCATTAATTCGAGCCATTAACCTCACCAACGGACTTTAGCTAGTCTTCCTGATAATGGAACTGATAATGGATTAGAAAAATGGACAACTGGAAGAACAAGTAGCAGCCAGCCCAAATAATCACATGCAAACAACCGAGACCTAGAGCGCATAACATTGTTCCATGAACAGTGAGTGTTCCCTAAAAACACGTGGAAATCAGCAGTCATGACACTGAGTGTTGCTGGCAGCTGCCCAGTAGATCTGGGGGCAGATACAGACAGCCTAAGTCTGCTCGTTCACTCTAACCCACACCGATTTCTCCTCTTTCGGACATGTTGTTACAGACTACTTGTGTTCTAAAATTGTTTCCATGTCTTCATTTCCCCACTTGACTGTAAGTTCCCTGTAAACTCCTTTGGTATCCTTCTCAATGCCTAGCATAATAGGCGGGGGGTGGGGGGGGGTGGGCAGTGGTTTTTAACCTGGACCCTATAGATTGGCTTCAGTCACAGGCAAAGACCCAATAGGGGCATCAAAGCTTCTTATTAAAAGTGTGCATACCCCATAGTCAGAGCTTTAGGACTGAGAAAAAGAAATTTTTAACTTTAAGGTATTTGTAAAAGGGACAATAGTTAATGAAAGGGTCGGTGGCCTTGATGAAACTCATCTAGTCTGCTGGTTATCATTCCCAGTTTTTTGTAATTTGCATATTAGATAAAGCTTAGCTTTTATACTTTTATTAAGATCATAGGTAAAAATTGCTAGGCCACACAGGGTCAATTCATGCATCATGCTGGTAGAGACTTAGCCAATAGGGGCAAAACTGCCATTCTTGGGAACATGAGTCCAATCACGTACCAACTACACACTAACCAAATATTTACTCCATCTTTCTCTACTTTGTCTGAAAGGATGCCCTAATAATCTTCCAGGTGCCTTTAAATCAAGATTCATAAAACCTGAGCATTCTCCTTATCAGAGATTAATGTAATGGCCATCTCATGATAGGAAACACAGTTAATATGACATAAACCATACCTTTTTAAAGCTCTACAGGTTTGTGGAAGACGTGTTTCTTCTTCTTTAAATGTATAACATTTAAACAAACATGTGTTTACTAATCCATGCTCGAATTATGCCAAGGAGCAGTCTCACTTACATCTGGTTTCCACAACGTACCTTTTCCTCCTATTTGAAAATAGGGATGATATTTGCTTATCTCCTGCCTTTTGACAACTTTTCCATTCTTTTGATTTCTCAAAGCTCACACTCAGTGGTTTCCCTGTTCTAGCTTTAAGTTCTTTCATCTAGGATATGGCTCTTCTGGACTGAGGGACAAACATATTTGCAATAGTTAATGTGACTTCTATTATCACCTCTTCTAACTGCACCATGAACAACACCATTTTTATGGTCTTTTTGCTTAATTGAGAAGAATGAAATTGAGTAATTTAGCTGGGCTTTTACCTGTCAGCAAAGCAATACTCCCTAAGTGATCCCATCTTGCTGTGCATATCAACATCATGTTTACTGAGGACTTAATTCCTAGGTACCATACTGTCTTTTGGTGCTTTTCTTACACAGGGCCTGCATACCTCCTCCCATTGCTTATGTTCCTTTTAAAATCAGAAATCATCAACAGCATCCCTATGTCATCACACATTAAAAAAAAAATCATTGGCAGGTCCCCCTTCCTTCCTTCCTTCCTTCCTTCCGTCCTTCCGTCCTTCCTTCCTTCCTTCCTTCCTTCCTTCCTTCCTTCCTTCCTTCCCTCCTCCCTTCCTTCCCTCCTCCCTCCCTCCCCCCTCCCTCTCTCCCTCCCCCTCTGCCTCCCTCCCTCCCTCTCTGCCTCCCTCCCTCCCTCCCTTCCTTCCATCTTCTTACGTTCCCTGCATCCTGCATCTTCTCTTACTGGAATTATTTACTCTCTTTAGAATCTGATTTTTAGTTTTACAGCCTTCCCAGTATTGCTCAGTCAAATATCCTTTAGATGAATTAATCACAGAATCATACTATAGTATTGTTAAAGACTCACTTTTCTAAATTCTTGGGCAGGACATGCTTCTTAGCAAACTCTAAGATGTCATGCTCACATTCTATTACTTTTGCATCACTAAGGGGCCTTCTTTAAGTCAGAATTCAGTCAAGAATCAGTGCATTTGATGCTGATTGAGAAAACTGCCTGAAACTGATCGAAAGTAACGACAGGCTGGCAATTTGACTGTCTCTATGTTTGTTGGTCTCATGCTTGCCTGAATTTACAACAAGTCTTGTGTAAATGAGATAGGATTTGGTTTTCCACCTGTGTCTAAAAAATAAATAGTGTATTGTTGCCTTTGGCCAGATGCACAAATTTTACAACAAATAATCTGGCTTCTGAGCACTTGAATCTTCACCCCGCTCTTCCTCAAGCATGTCATCACTTAGGGTGGCACCCTCCCTGTTTATATTTCTAGGTTCGACTGAGTAGGAAAGTCAGAGGACAAGTTATACCCCCCAAACAGAGTATATTTTCCTATATAAAAACAGAACAGGAGCCCTGGCCGGGTGGCTCAGTTGGTTGGAGCATCGTCCCCCACACAAAAAAGTTGCTGGTTCGATTCCCGGTCAGGGAACACACCTAGGCTGTGGGTTTGATCCCTGGTGGGGGCGCCTACGGAGGGTGACCAGTAGATGCTTCTCTCTCACATTGATGATCGACATCTCTCTCTCTCTCTCTCTCTTCCTTCCTCTCTCTAAAATCAATAAAAACATTCCTTCGGGTGAGATTAAAAAAAAACAACAACAAAAAAACAGGAAACACATCCTGTTAGTTCCACAACCTGAACATGTGAATAGATCAAATGGCACATGTACTTCATGACAAAACTCCTCGCTGCTATCCGTTAAAGAGTAAAATGCAAAAGGAAAAGTTGAGATATAATAAACCTTCAATGCATAAGCCTCCTACTCACAAGAGGAAAGGGGGACAAGGACTTTTTAAAAGCTACAATGCACAGTCCATTTAAAATCCCGAGTACAGATGCCTGGGAACGTTAGCTTGGTTGCTAGGAGCCAAGCTTTATCAGTCAAAGAATGGTAAGGTAATGTACACTGGGAAGTCTGGAAAGAGATTATTGTGAAGTGGGTTGCCAACATGGAATCTGAGAGACTTAGAAAGGGGTGGGACAGAATTTCACCCTAAATATTTTTTTTTAATACAAAGGTAGAAAATGTGTACTATCTGGTAGAAAGCAGTGAGTCAATTAAACAAACCCATACCCATAAGGGCCTCTATATCATAGTAATTGTAGTAGGCAGAGGAATGGCCTGCCAAAGATATCCATGTCCTAACCCTTGGGGCCTGTGAATATGTTATGTTATGCGGCAGCAAGGAGTTAAGGTTGCAGAGGAAATAAGGTCAATAATCATCTGACTTTAAAATAACGGGATTATCCTGGATTATCCAGGAGGGCTTAGTGTTATCACAAGGGTTCTTTAAAGTATCAGGGTAACACAGCCTGGGATAGACCAGCCCTTGTTGGTTTTGCAGGTGGAAGAGAACCCTGATACAGGGAATGCAGGCCACCGGGAAAAGCTGGAAAAGAATACGGGCTCCCCTCCAAGAGCCCCCAGAAAGGACAACAGCCCCCGCTGACAGCTGGATCCCAGCATGATGAGACCCACATCAGACTTATGACCTACAGGACTGTAAGATAAAACATTTGTGTTGAATAAGCTGCCAAGTTTGTGGTAATTTGTTACAACAGCAATAGGAAACCAAGGTAGTAATTTAACTACAAGAACCTATAACAGTATTAACGTTCTAAGCTATAAAAGTGTTCCTCTTTCTGAACTGACAAAAGAAAATAAAACGCTCACCTTTTTATAGGTTTTTTCTTCGTTTTGTTTTCCAGGTGCTGCATCTCCATTTTCAGCAGCAGACGACATCTACAAGAGAAAAAAGTCCCTATTTGAATTCACAGCTCTGCTCTGAAATACAATATGCTACTAATATTGTTAATAAGAGGATCTACTTTGGTTAAGTATATTTTTGTTGTTATTGCTGTTGTCTCCAAGAAAGTAAGAGATTTCTCAGAATACTAAAAAAAATCAGCGGTCCCTAACCTTTCCAAAATAAAGCTTTACTTCTAAATAATTTTGGTAGTACACTGTACTCCATAGGAAAAATGCTATGAAAGCCCAATCCCACCACATGTAAATAAGTTTCTTTCTCCAGAACCTTTAAAACGTTTTTCTTCTGGTTATAGATGCTTCCTGTAAAAATATATGGAAAGTACCAAAAAATAAGAACCAAAACATAAAATTACTCAAATCTACTACCCTCGGGCACCTCCACCATTCATTCTGACCCATTTGTTGCCACATTTTGTTCCATGTACTTTCATACTAAAAATATTATACCATCTTAACAGAGTTTTTCACTAAACATTTATGTCATTTATTTTCAACCAGTGTGCTCCAAGAATTTTGAAAAGACGCGACATCTGACTCTTTAGTCAGGAGCACTGAGCTCTTTTCCCTTAAGATTGTCAAGTAAAAAAATGACAACAGCCAACACAACAATAGCCCTCTGAGGTAAACGGATCAAAAATGATACATTTTTTTTGTCAGATCGACAAAAAAATTATATACTTTTTGGTGTGCTGCAGAATTTTAGCAATTAGTTTTTCAGTGGCATGACATGTAAAAAGTTGAAAATAGCTGGTTTATGTGATTAGATTTTTTCCATTTGATTATAAATATCTCATTGTAAGAATAAATTTCTTTTTTCTAGTTGCAAGGCAGCACTGTGTAAACACAACTGTCTGTTAAAGAATAGTTGATGTAGTCCAAGGATTTTGCCTCTACAAAGAATTATTTTAAGCTTCTGTCTTTGTCCACCTTCAATGTTTTCTTGGACTAGATTCCTAAAAATACCAGGCCATTAAGAAATTGAAAGTTCTCACTACAGACTGCTAAATTTCTTTCCAAGAAGAATATACCCATTTACACTGTCAGCAGTGAGTGGGAGTTGGTTTCCTTACATGCTTAGTAAACATTATAATCATTTCTAATTTAACAGGTTTAAAAAAGCATCTCCTAATTTTAATTTGCATCTTTGAAAATTATTAGTAAAGGTTAACATTGTGTGTGTGTGTATATATATTTATATGTATATATATTTATTTATTTATTTAGCTCTTTGCATGTCTTCTTTTGAGTTTTCTATTGTTTTTTCTATTTATCTAGTAAGAGTCTTAGTGTTTTAGTTATTGATTTTTACCTATTATATTTACTGATAGTAGTTGTTTCCTTATTGTTTTAGTTATTGATTTTTACCTATTATAATTACTGATAGTAGTTGTTTCCTTACTGATTCTTTTGTATTAAGGTTATTAATCTGTTTCCAAACAGTATGAATATTTTACGTGCTCTCTTTAAATTTGTTTTATAATTATGACAGAGAAGTTTTATATTTTTCATACTCAAAACTACTGACTACATTTTAGGTTTATTCCAATGCTTTTAAGTAAAATTATTTTTTTTTCATTGGGAGATATCAGATGTTTACACATGTATTTCTCTCACATTTTAATGATAAAATTTTTGCACTTAAATTTTAATTCATTTAAAATTTTAAGACAAGTTACTTATATGTAAACAAGGATACCACATAATCAGGGAACCATGATATCTAAGGGTCTGATCTTAAATTGCATGAAGAGCATTCTATACACCCAGGAGGAGTAAAACTTCTTCCTCATAAGCCTTTGAAGCATATTTTAAATCTTGGGCTTTTAATAAACATAGTGTAATAAACGAAATGTGTGTGAAACCTAAGAACTGGCCAGCCACTTCTCTGCATTGCAACTACATGCCTGAGTTTCCTCTTACTGCCATAATCTTGATATGACTAAAAGCCATCTCAGAAAATTCAAGAATGGCCCATGGCAAGCCAACCTTATCAGATGTACCTATCACTACCCATGAATCAAAGCATCCTCTTGGTAAACTTTGAATTCCATTTGTGTGATGGGTGGTACTCCATTTCCGCAGAGTCTACCTGGGTTGCCATGGATGGAGAAATAAAATAAGTCATTCCAGACTTATTCTCTTGGTAAAATAAGTCATTTTCTTGGTCTTCCAGGAAAAGGGGGTGGCGATTCCCTCTGGTAGAGAATGCCTCAAGCCCTTCTCTTGAAGTGGCTTTTATCATCAATGTTAAAAGGCTATGATTGAAGGAACACAGAAATTTGCCTCAGGTCAGGGTCTGGTAGACAGGGTGGTGCCCATTTGGCCCTGAAACCTGGGAAACTGATCACATCCTATGCTCAACCCCAAACATCATTACTCATTAGCTTGAGGGCATTCTTAGCGAAGTAAGTTGCATAGGCTCCAATGCATTCCTTTCCCAGGCTGAATTGTCCCCGGGGAACCACCCGATCCAGTTTAGGGCTGTACCTGCCTTTAGTATTGTTTCACTGACCTGGTCAGGCAGTAGGCAGAGCAGCCAAGAGATAAGGAGACTTCTTCCAGATAGAATGAGGACTCCAGCCATGACAAAACTGAGAGGCGAGGGTCTTTTGCCCCTTCTCTGTGTCCCTCAAGTCCTTCCCTGATGGCCCCCATGCAACTGTGCCTGTCTTAGGTTCCGCTGCCATCGAGGGGTGTTACCCATCATTGACTAACAAGCCATCTTCCAGGGCCAAGCAGGGTGATGTGAGGAGCAGCCCCTGCCAGGGGGACAGGTTCTGTCTCCTCAGTGGCCTATTTTCCCAAGGCCTCCTTGCTCAGCTCCAGCCTTGGGGCCCTCTCGTCTATTGGCAAGGCTACAGTCCCTGAAACCAGGCAGGACGGTTCCCAACATTTCCCCATTTTTTGTCTGTGAATGTATTTGTGGTGGATAGGCCTATGAAACCTACTACCTGCTGCTCTTGAATGCAGTCTCGAGAAAACAACCTCCATAAACATTGCCTTAGACACGGGTGGATCAAGGATGTGACCTCAATAAATATGTTGAACATCAGTGGCAAGGCTAAATCCCCCAGAACAAGCCAAAAGGACAAGCATTATTATAATTTTGGTGGAGTTAGAAGGCACTACTGATAAGTAGGCTGAAAATCGATTCTCTGGGGCATCCTGGACCCCCACATCCCTCACAAGTTTCCCAGACCTACAACTGACATTTTTTTATGTCTGATCTTTTTGGAGCAGGGGTGGGAGAGTCCTGGTTGTTGATGTCTACGGTTTCTGACAGCAAGCCCGCATCCTTTGTCATTGCCAAGTTACGACCATCTGGGATACCTGATCAGTCAAAACTTTGAATTCCATTTGTGTCCATTCATTCTGTCCATTTTAGAGTCTGAAGGTCTCAAAGACAAGTTTCCTCCTTCCATGCTGTATCTGCTTAATTCATTTAAAGAATAACTATTTTTTCTAGTCTTTTCATAATAATTTGGTGAGTTTAGAATAATATATTAGTAGAATTAAGAGATCCGAAAGGTTGAATAACATCAGCCTCAGGGTCCCATTTCATCCTGCGTAAAAGCCAAAGTCCTTGCAAATGGCCTACAAGACCCTATATGATTCACCCACCCTCTCCCTGTTCCTTCTCTGACCTCAGCTCGTCTGAATTACTTCCCCGTCACTGCCCCTGTTTCAGATGTTTTTTGCTGGTCCTCAAACACATCAAAATGCTGCAGCATTAACTATTTTCACTGCCTGAATAGTCAAATGTAAATAGATAAGAATAAATCCCTGCTTATCATTTTCAAGTCTTTGCTCACATGTTAACTTCTGCTTGGTGTTTAGCTTGACCATCCTATCTTCAACTGCAACCTGTTCAGCTCCCCACTGCCCTCATATTCCTGATCCCCCTTAACTCACCTTCTTTTTTCTGTGTCCAAAATACTATAGAGTTTACTTATTTCTTATAGTGGGTTTTTGTTTTGGTCTGTCATCTTCCAAAGAATTTTAAACTCCACAGAAACTTTAGTCTGTTTTGTTCACTAATGTACCTCGAATACCTACAGTGTACACAGTACCTACTAAGTGCTTAATAAAGAATAAAAGAATAAATAAATAGATAAGGAATATAAGAAGATGCCATTAAATCAATATAGGCAGTATCTATTCCATCTGTTTGTTTTGTGCTTGGGAAGAGAGCTGATTGATCCCTTGAAGGAACGTGATAAAGACATTCTTGAGGAGTCGGACACCACCAATCACGTTGTATGCGGATTCCTTGAAAGGTGCCATGGCTATGTTAGTTGGCATGGAATAAATGGTAATGCTGACCCCTTATAACTTGCTCTATATGTGAAAAAGACTTTTAGGCTATAGGTGTTTCAGTAGAAATAATCTCCATATAGAATTTAAATCATTTTAAAAAATGTAAACTATTACTGGATATGCCACATGTTCATTTTTCTGACATAACCATTCTCGAATGGAATTAAGATTAATTTGGAATTAAGTTTTAAAAAATATGAGGGCTCCTTGATTATTTTAATCAAATATATGATTATTCATTACTTTTCAATCATTTTAAAATTTAAAATTAATTTTAAATTTAGAAATTTAAAGGTAATATGTTTTTATCTTAATTGTATTTGAAAAAATATAAAGAAAATAAAACTATCACCTTTAATCCAACTATTCAGAAATAAGAATTATTAATATTTGGCTATTTTACTGTTTGATCTTTTCCCAATGTGGGTTTTTTAAAACAAAACTGGAATCATATATTACATACAATATTGCATTTGCCATTTCACTTAACTTTGTATCATAAACATTTTTTTTGCATCACTATTAGTTGGAAATAATTTCTAATGTCTGAATATTATAAAATTTTATCATAATTCAGTATTTATTAATGGACAATAGGATACATCCTATATTTCTGTTACAAATAAAACTGTACTCTCTGTTCTTATACCAACAGCATGTCTCATTAGAGCTGCCAGAGATTCTAGAACAATATCTACTGGGTAAAATATCATACCTACTTTATATCTCTACCAGCATCAAGTATTTTCATTTAAAATCAAACAAACAAAACACTTTGTCAATTTAACTTTAGGAAAAAATATCATTTTATAATGCATTCATATGATCAATAGTAAGGATAAACATTTTCTGTCATGTTTAATTCTTTCTTCATATTTCTTTATTGAATTGTCTGTACAAAACTTTAGCTCATTTCTATATTCAGGTATGTCTGCCTGTATCTCCAATTTAGTTTGTACTAATGATAGTAAAGAAGAGTAGGATTTTTCTCCAACCATTAACTGTTTAATAGGGCCAAGAGAAAATTAACACTTCCCTAAGGAATGCCATTTAAGTAACTTCACTTCCAAGACTTTGCAGTGTTTAAAATCAAAAAGCTTAAGAGGAACTCTGAAGGGTGCTTGAAAAACCAACCATAATAAGGAGTTGACTAATCAGCATAAATGAACGACAGATGTTGAGATGGTTTATTTTATTATTTTGTAAATCACCTCTGATTGGACAGTAGGAAGAGGAAGAGAGAAGCAGGTAAACTTTTGTGTTTTAAAAAACAATTTCCTTTAAGCAGCACAACACAGATTATTGTAATAAACGAAGGTCATGAAATGTCACCTGGATTCAAAGGTTTTTTGTTTTTTTGTTTTTTTCCTGTCAGGGGATGTTTAGCAAAGGTCATGCACACCTATGAACCAGGGCATCTGTGTAGGAAAGACAAATGAGATGTTTAGGATGTCTTAGTAAACTGCAAATGGCTATTAAAATGGTTACAGTGGTTAATTCTCTTTGTTCCTAGACTTGCTATGTTTCTGTATCAGTTAAGTGCATCAATTATAATGAAAGCCAAGGTAAGTATGGATTAAAAACATGGTTTCAATAACATTTTAATCATATATATCTGTATATATACATAAAAAGAAGGAGAAAAGAAATTCATAGAAATACTGGTGATTATCTATGAATGATGGATTATGAGTGCTTTGGGTTTTAATTTTATATATGCTCTATTTTCCAAGTATTCTGCAGTTAGCACTGCTATGTTGAACAATAAGGAAAATACTAATGCTGTTCAAGAATTGAATCACACCCAGTAATTAATAGTAGAGTCCACACATCCTGGGTTCTGCCTCTTCAGGCCTAGTGACATTCACAAAATTTCCTGTTTCTATTTGCTTGTTGCTTATTTTAAACTTGATAATGTTAAAGTTAAAGGTCATGAACTAGATATAGGACTTAGAATATTTGTAAATAAATATAAAATAAAAGAGGTAAGGGCTCTATAATGAGTCAGTTGAAATAAATTAAAAATATAGACTGTATTTCCTTACCTTAGTAAATGAAATGGCAAGTCATCTGTTGCTGGTCGTCATGGGCAGCCTACTCATTGTTGAGACTGTTTTTCTTCCCAGGTTCCTGTTAAAGTAGAAATCACTGGTCATTATTTTTTTCTTATCTCCACCTCAACCCCCCAAAATGATCACAGGCGGCTACTGGGATACATACAATGCAATCGGTTAAAACTAAAATAAAGAATGTGTGTGAGAGAAAAACAAAGATGGGGGAACAAGATGAAACCAGCAGTATGGGCTATGCAGAGAATGTAAGCCACATGACCCTGTGGTCTTCAATTTCACCGAGATCCCTAGTGGTCACCGCAAATGAGGAAACGATCCGTTACCTAAATGTCCAATGTCCGTAAGTTAGAACAAACCAGTTGCTCAAAGAAACCACAGGTATCAGGGGATTGGGGTTGGGGCAGAAATTTCTCCTGTAGGTCTTTATAAAGGAGATCCTATGTGATGTGTGGACAGTTTTTCAATATTATCCCTGTGGTACATCAACTGTGATTTTCATGAGGATTGAAATTTTCCCTATGCTGGTTCTCACACGCACACACACACACTTTTTCTTACCAATGTTTCAGATTTTCTTCTAATCTACGTATCTCTCTCATTTTTAAATAATCTATCCAACGTAATGCTTTTCTTTGTTTGGTATCATAGTAGGTTCTTTCTGCTACACCCTAATTTAATTTTTAATAGGAATGACTATTAAATTATATCAAATAACATTTCCTGCACCAGTTAATATAATAATCATACATTGTTCTCTATTCTGTTGTGTTAATATGTAACATTGAAAGATTTCATAATGAAAAATCATCTTTATAATTCTAGAATAAACCCTAACTTGGATTCAATTTGCTACCATTTTAAAAAGGGTATTTTCATGATTGAAATTAAATAATTGTTGTCCCATCTTTATGAGGTTTTGGTATTAGGAATTAATATTTTTCATAAAGTTAGAAGTCTTTCTTTATAGGCACTGAGATATTTTTTATGATTATTAATTTCTTGGAATTTATAGCCTCTCTTAGGGATGAATTTTAGTAATTTATACATTTTTAAGAAAACCATCAATTTTCTTTAGATTTTTAAATTTGTTGCCATAAAGTTGCATGTAACATTTCCCATTGAATCCTTTTAATTCTTTTGGGATGTAAGCAATGTCTTTTCCTTAATTTCTGATGTTGCCCTTTTTTCTTTTTGTTTGTTTGTATGTGTACATGTATATGTAATACATGTAGTGTATATGTGTTGCATATGTATATGTATTGCATATACATATGTATTATATGTATTGCATGTACATATTCTTAATATAGTGTTTAAAATGTATATATATTTTCTCCATTAGTCAGGTTTTCTTTGTTTTGTGGCCATTTCCATTAATATAGCTTTTTCTGTCAATATCTTCTTTTGACTTATTTTATAAATTTCTTACATGCAATACTTAGCCTTAGTTCTTTATTATTGTTTCAAAAATATATTACCCAAACCATTTAAGCTAGAAAATATGTCTGATTATATTAACCATTTTCTGTAAGTTTTGTCATAAAATGTTCTGTGTAATCCATTTCCAGATAATTTGCCACTTTGGATATTCTTCAATTTCATCCAGAAATCATCTACAAAAAAGTATCACAATTTCAAGTATTTACAGTTTAATGATTATTCTTTCATTGCCCATTTCTGGTTTTACTACATTGGGATCACAAAAAGGGATGAATAAAACAATTTTTTTTCTTCCCAAATTCAAATTCGTTTTTCCCTGTGGCCATAAAAACAGGCATAAGAGAAAAGTGTATATCTTCTGTCTATAGGGTACAAAAACACTATATTATTACCACTCCATGTCATTGTATATTTTGTTAAACTATGGAAGAATACATTAAAATTCCCTACTATGACTGTGTCGTTGTCATATACTCTCATATTTCTACTTTTTGTTTTTGCCTTAAATTTACATAACTAAGTATAAAGGACAGGCATAGAATAGTTTTCTTATAAATTGTACTCTTTATCCTGAGAAGTAGCTTCTTTTATTTAATAATTTTGGTCTTGGGTTCCACCTTAGTTGATGCTAACAGCTTCACTTTTGCTTTCCTTTTCTTGCATATGCTTGGCATATCCTTGTCCATTTCTTTATCTACAACTTTTTTAGTTGCCCTTTTGTTTTAGCTGTGTCCCTTAAATAGCCTAAAACTGGGATTTTCTTTAGTTATTACCGATCTAAGAGTCTTTGTCATTTTAAAGGGCACTTCAACAAATTCACATCTATTGTGATATGATTTGTCTTTTTGTTTGCTTCCATCATATGTGTTATTATTAATCACATTTATTGTCACTGCATTGATTTTTATTCATTCCTTTTTTGCTGGGTTAATCAACTGATAATTCCATTTTCTTTCTAGTAATTAAACAATTTTACTCCAAAAATATGTGCTCAGTTATCTATTTAAAAATAATTTAAAAATCTGTATTTTTGTATTAAATAAAATAACTGCTGCCCCCACAACCCAGACATCTTCCCCTTGACCTACAGCAGCAGACACGAAGACTCGCCACCCAGACTGCCCTCCCAGGAGCCGGGAGACTTGCCCCTGAGGACATGGCCAGCAGACACTTACAGCTGTCAGCCCCTTAAGGGTCTGCCTCTGCAGGGGGCCAGCTCTCCCCAGTCACAGCCTCCCTGGGCAGTCCACATGGGAGTTTGCCTTCTCTCTCTACATGCCCAATCCCTCCCCGCTCCTTGTATTAGTCTTCAAATTCTGTGTCTCACAAAAAAAAAAAAAAATCTATATGTATATCTATCTATCTATCTATGTATCTATATCTATATACATATTTTTGTATACATATACAATTTGGAAATTGCCAGTCACAAAATAACTGCTGCCCCCACAACCCAAATATATATATATTCACAAACTATATATACAGAAATGTATTCTCTCACAGTTATGAGGCTAGAAGTCCAAAACCAAGGGGTCTGCAGGACTGCGCTTCCCCTGAACCTCTGCATAGAACCCTTCCTTGTCCCTTTATGGCTTCTGGTGGTGGCTACTGATCCCTGGCATTCCTTAGCTTGTGGCTGCATCACTCCAATCTCTGCCTCTGTTGTCACATAGAGTTCTCATAGTGTGTCTGTCTTCACATTGCATTTTCCTCTTCTTATAAGATACCAGTCATATCAGATTAGGGCCCACCTAATAGCTTTATCCTAACTTGATTACATCTGCAAAGACTTTATTTCCACATAAGGTCACACTCATAGGTGGGGCATATTAGGACTTCAACTATCTTGTGGGGGACACATTCAGCTCATAATATATGTGTTGACCCCTAATAAACATCCTGCACTCAACACTCTATCCCAGTGCCTGCTTCCAGAGAGCCCAACCCCTGCCGGCTCTTCTGTCTTCTTGTTCGTAAGAGGAAATATTTGAAATATTTGTACTTTCTCACTGGCTGTTCCTCTCCAAACTTCAAACAGCTTCTCTTAATCAACATGGCTCTGCTCTCTCAAGAAATCTTAGTTAACAATTTATAGTTCACAATCACATTATCATCATTTATTTAGGCTTGACGATAAGTTTTATAAGGTTCTTTGCTCATTCTTGTTTCTTTGGCTCCTTATCTTCCCTTATCCTGATACCTTTGTTCTGATTCAATTTTTATAGTTTCCTCAGAAGTAGCTCATGGGAGGTCCATTCTGGGTCACTTTATGTCCCTGCCCAATGTTACTCCAAGGTCTTTCTTTTCTCCTCATGTATGACTAGATCTCTTGGATGGTGCAGTATTCTTGGCTCACAGTCCTCATCTTTCATCTATCAATATGGTATTGCTGTCTTCTTGCTTCTTGGCTTACAGATGAGTAGTTTCAAGCTACTCTAACGCTCCTCTGTTGGCAACTTACTGTTTTCTCTGTCTAGAAATCTATGAGAGTTTTCCTTTTTAACATAGTTAAAAAATTCCATAAGGATAGAGTGCCTTTTTTCATTAATCCTGCCCTGTATGGGAAACTGATGAGAAGTTATTACATAGAGATATGAAGAGGTGACTTAAACCATGAATAATATTTAGGCTATCTAGATGAGGAATGAACAGAATGCACATCCTTCAGGCAGGCTTTCATGAATATTGTTTTTCATAACCAACTTTCGATAAGAATTGGGTGGTGGAGCACTGAAAGTTACAGTCTCTGGCAAGATCCTGGAATGGAGAAATTCCAGTGGCCAAGTAAGGGCATAATCATAAGACTCAGATCTTGTTGGGAAATGCATTAATATGCATTTGAACACAAGACTCCCCATATAGACTTATTTTCTTAAATCATTTCTGACAGTAAATAGAGCCAACTTATGGTGTCATATGGCACACTGTTGAGACATCAGCTCAGCCAACATTAATATATGCTAAGAAATGATATTTTTTTAAAAATATTTTATTGCTTATCTATCTTTTCTGGTATTTAGTGTCTGAATTCTGTGAGCTTCAGAAAGAAATAACTTACACTATTTCATAGCTCTCTACATTTCTATGCTCTCATTCAATTTAAGGGAACGAAAGATACTATCATTTATAAGTAACAACCATGTGTGAGATGTATCAATTACATGATCTCATTTAATTCTGCAAATGATCCCTTGACATTCTCCAATTTAGCTTGTGCTGTTTTGACCTTATAATGGAATGTCCTACAATATCCATGGAAGGTAGTCATTTTAAATTTTGCCAAGAGTCTTGCTATGATGCTAGTTTGAAAAAGTGCAGGCCTTAGTAGGCCAATTAACATAGGGCACCTCCCCGCCATAGCACCAAGCCTGGCTTTGCTGTTCTTTATACCAATGCTGGGTATCAGAACGACCTGGGGAGTTTTTTGAACATTCAGATTCTTGGGCCATGCACCAGAAACAACTCAATTGCTACCTCTGCATGGTGGGTCTGGGGAATCAGTATTTTCAGCACGCTTCATAGATGTGGGATCATCTAAGCTATTCTGACTAATAAAGGCAATAAAGATGTTTTTATCACTTCCAAAGAATTGTCAAGGTCCAGTAGGGAAAACAG